GACACAGAGGTAGACAATGAGATAGAACTTTTAGGGAAGAAGTTTAGAGACTTACAAGATAACTTGCAAAAGATTGCGAGGGAGGGACCGAGTAAAGACACATACCGAAGAGCTTTGAAGTCCATGGTGCAGCGGTTGAGTCGACCAACAACAGCAGAACAAGCCAGTGAAACCTTCATGCGCTGGAAGGTGGCATCACTACCATAACCTTTACTGCCCCCTAGACCCTTCTTCTATAAAGCATCCCCGCAAAGCTGAAATGCAGAAGAATGCATGGAACAAGAAAATGGAAGTCCCATACGTAAAAGCATGATTTCCGTTTTCTTCTTTCTCGCATTCTCCTGCATTTTGGCTTTACCGGAATGGTTTATAATATCGTCTTTCTGGCTGAATATGGTATATAAGCATCATAAAATTCGTCTTTATTATTCTACGATCATTTCGGCCCCTCCGGACGATAGAACTGGCGAAATATGCGAAATCAGAGAAGAACGTTTCGGAACGGTTCTATGCGGCGCCTGGTTGGGGGTCCGCTCTGAAGTGAGAATGGCGCTCGGCACCAGCTCTCGAGGAGGGGGGCAAGTGGCACTTTTTTTGTAATTTCGGTGATGCACTCAAGATTCCTGAGCCCGGTGCACTTTGAAATAACCTGAAAATCGCAGAAGTGGCTGCGAGGGGTGGATAACTCCCCTGCCAAAGTGTACACCTCTAATTTTGCCCAATTCATACTAATTCAGACCATGGTCACAGTTTAAAAAAAAATGTAACTTTACAAGAGTATACCTGTAATCTGGTACAAAAATATTATGGTAATTTTACCGAGTATGGTAAATATACTTCATGTTTTCTGTAAATTTACCAGTTAGTTTGGTAATTTTACAGAAAAGTACTAGTAAAATTACCGAAACCCTGTCATTTTCCCCATAATTTGTGGTAATTTTACAAATGGCTGTAATAGTACGACATATCTTCTGAAATATTACAGAGAACATTGAGAATCATTAGAGCCTGTACAATTCACTTCCAGTAAATTTCTGTAAAAACACTGAATTGATCTGTGTAACAGAAAGTAATGCCTTCTTAGACCCATCATACGGTTGCGTGTTTGCACGTGCTGTTCGAAAGATTTTTATACTATTATTTACAGATCAACACAGTAAATTCTAGACCTGCTGTGCATTCGATTATTGGACTCTGTTTTGAGTAAAAATCAAGGAGAGAACCCCGGTAGTGCCTAGGAACTGACCCGACACTTACACGAGCCCTGTTGGTGGCGGAGTGAGATTAGTCACCCGCGAATTTCCTAACGGGCAATTCCAGAAAAAAGCGGAAGTGGTGGTCAACATTTCAAATTGGTGCTAGAGACGAGGCGAAAATTGCTCCGTGTTGTCAAAGGTCCATATTTTCGTAATCCGCAAAAACATTGGCAAAAATGTTTCTACTTGAGTTCATTTCCGAGCTCTGATTGATGCCTTCCCTCTCGAGAACAATACTTAGCACTTTCAAGCCTTTATCCTTTTGCGTTAAAAGAGCCCTTCCACTCAAATTTTTTTGGATCTCTATTTGATTACTGTTAGGTAGGCCTTCTAAAACACCTAAGACCACTCGTCAGCGGTGCCCGTGTCATAGGGGCTTCAGAAAAGCCCTCCAACTTTTTTTCAAAAACGCGTGTGGTGTTTTTTTTCTATTTGTGGCGAATCCTGCCGGGCTACGTTTTCGACACTTCGGGTGCAAAGCAAGTTCGTTATGAGGAACAAATTGGGTCTTAATGTCCGAGGTCGAAAAACGCTCGGAACAGGGTGAAAATCGCGTCACCGACGGACGCTGTCACTGACAGACGCTGTCGCTGACGGACACTGTCACTGGCAGGCGCTATCACTGACGGACGCTACGAACATTAATCTGCATAGAATATTGTTTGTCGAGATTTTCTTACTTTACCGCAGGATATCCCGCGGCGTTATCCCGCCCTCTTGGCAAAAATGAAATTATAGTCTTTCCGTTTTTCTCTTCCCCCTCCCCCTCCTTGCATTTAAGAAAGCACGAAAAGTGTGCCCAGTTTTAACCCCATTCACGGGGCGGGGAGAGAGCTAGAAAATCGCTCTCTTTTGGACCATATTAAGGGTGTCCTTGCCTACTATGTGACTCGAGTGACTATTTACAGAGACCCACATGTACAACCGTTTAGGAGTTATGGCTGGTGAAGGTCGACGAATAATCCATTCGTACGTGTCCGTCAGTGACGCTGTCCCGCGTCCGTCGGTGACGCCACTTTTTCTTCTATAACACAGAAACGGAGGCGAATCTAGCGAAGTACTGTATATAGACAGATAGCTGCATTCCTTGGTCTCAAGACTCTGCCCTCGTCGAATTTTTAACCCCACTAAATTTGCTGAGTTTTAAGAGAAACTAACACCATGTCGAAATCCACTTCTGTTTTATGTCCGTAAGTGACGGCCTTTTTGCCAAAGGATAAAATCTAAACGACTCATCGCACAGAGTCCGCTCGAATGCCATTGGAAAGGGCTTAAAAAGTACTTCAATGACCATCTTAGTTCGGTTCGATTAGTCCAGATCTTCCCTTTCAAAACCAGAAAGAAGCCGCGATTTTTGCGTACGAACGTCCGTAAGTGACGCTTAGAATTGCCCTAACGCCAAACCAGCTGGGTGGAAATCTCGGCGTGGTGCTGGCCCTGAGCCCCGGGCCGAGGTCCTGCCTCCTCCCAACGTCGACAGGCTGGGGATGGGTAGCCAACAGAATGTTAAGGACGCAGTAAGTTGTTGTTCAGTTAGAACTAACCTCATCTTAGTATGTTCTTCAAACAATTAAAATGGGTAGTCCCAACGGGAATTTGAAATTAATTCTTTGAGGGCCACGGCGTGGCGCGTGATATGCCGTGTACCTGCCGGGTCACATAATCCCCAAGCCAGAGTCGCTGGCGGCCGGTCGGGTCGGCTACGGTCACCCGGCACCCGGCTGTAGAGTCACATGGGGACCGTCGAGCAGCCCTCCTATCAAGTCCCAGTCGTCTAGTGGCTAGCGTGCTGGGTTCGCAACGCAGTCGTCGAAGGTTCAACTCCCGCCGGGTCAAGGTAAGTGGTTATCCACTATAATGCTTACTTCGATGCTTGTATAACACGGTGAGGTAGGTATGTAAGGATATGTGGAAAAGGGCAAAAACCTCCGCAAACTCAGAGGCGAACCAAATTTCTTTTTCTTTTCTCGAATTACCACACTTTACATTACATGTATGATAAAACTTTTACAGAACGGACATGTAAATTTACCAGTATATCATGGGAATTTAATTACCATATAATAACCGGAATCTGTTTAACTTGTGTTCTGTAATTTTACAGACTGGTAATTTTACAAGACAATGTATTGGCACTGAGTATGCCCAGACTTTTTCTGTAAAATCCCTCCAAAAAATTTTAACTATGCAGTTCAATGTAATTCAACACAATTCGAAAATTATTCAACTAATTCAGTCCAATTCAAGACAATTTACTTTCAATTCTAGTCAGTTCAAGCAAACTCAAGTCAATTCACGGCAATTCAGTAACATAAAATCGCAACATTTCAAACCAATTCAAAAACAATTAAGCCAGTTCAAATTCAATTCAAGCCAATTTAAATTAAATTCTTGAAATTTCTACACCTAATTCAGGAGTTACCTACCACCCGGGTGGCTGAGATATGGCGACGAACATCTGCCGCAGCAGAGGATCGGGCGCTCACCGTTGCCTATCCATGAGCCCTAGCCACCTGCCGTCATCACACCGAACAAATAACATAAAGTGTGAAAAATTCCTAATCATTCGAAAACGAAAAGTATACACAGAGGGAACGCCAAACTCTCCAAGTAAGGTAAAAAAAGCCATTGCATGTTTGCAGATGTGTTCCTTTGATGTACTAGAAGTTGGGCGCGCGCCGTAAGAGCGAACTGTCACAAGCGCGACCCGTCGTAAGCGCGAAGGCCGCAAGCGCGACCCGGCGCAAGCGCGAACGCCGCAAGAGCGAACGACCGCAAGCGCGAAGTGTCGGAAGCGCG